GCTGATGGACAGCTGGAACTGTAGGAAGAAGGACGATTGTTGCCCCCTTTGTAACTGCCTAGTCTGCAGAAACCCACGATTTTTGTAAACTGGGAACAAAAACCCCATATTTCCTTGGTTTATGATTCATTTCTAAGAATTCACAAGTACGAACGATAGTGCTTAATGTCTGAAAGCCTTTCTGCTGTTTCTTATCTCTGAAGCGGTCCGTGAGGAGAAATAGAATGGTATGCTCTGGGTTTCTAACACGTCCTGTAGCATCCAGTCACGTCTCAGGAGTGTGGTGAGGGGCTGAGCTACAGCTAGTGCTTCAACGCTAAACTCGTAAAGACCAGTCCGTTAATGAGCACGCTTGACCTCGAGAAGGACAGACAGCTGAAGAGCGAAGGCTACAGCAGACCGGTGTCCCAGCTGGCTGCGAGGATCACCGCTCCTTGGCCCTCTTGTGGCTCTTTTGGCGCCATTAGCTCTTCTAGCACTTTTAGCTCTATTAGTAGTATTAGCTTAGGTAGCCATCTAAATCTACTAGGTTCTTTTAGGTCTGTTAGTTATGCTAACGCTCTTAGCCTTCTTTGCTCTGCTTGACTCTGATAGCTTTGCTAGCTCAGTTAGCGCAGCTAGCACTTTTAGCTCTGCTAACTCAGCTAGATTTTGCCAGCCCCTTCCTTCTCTCCTGTCATGTCTGGCTTCTGTGGATTCCCCATAGCCGCTTTGTATAGTTCATTCTGCATCCTGTCACTACCTCCCAGCTACAGACAGACAGATTTCCACAGCATACATCAGCCACACTGTGCCTGCAAATAGACTCACACAGGTCTTAAAGTTATCGAAACCTGACAGGTCACAGCAGACCCACACAAGGAACATGTAGAGAGCCCAGGTAATATTAATGTGAGGACACTTCACTGGGTTTCAGGTCACCTGGAGACACAGTTAACCTCATAAAAACATTCCAATGCTGATATCAGAGCTGTCTCTGCCTGCCTTTGACTGTGCCAACTTGGGGAAGAATACATCACACTGGAGTGTAACAGAGCGCTGGTGGACTGGTGTGCATGCTCTGCATCCTGTTGTGGTGTAAGCGTTGGGTTGTCCTGCCCACCCCTCTTCAGTCGTCCAATCATGGATCTCCACCTGTGGTGACAGCTTCCTATGGTGTCCCTTTGTGCGTGACCTGACTGTTCTCCTCCTAGCCCCCTCCTGCCTCCCTCTGGTGTGGTGCTACTTTTTCCACCCTCTTACCTCACACAAGGTAGATAACAAGCTTCCCCAACCCAAAGCACTCATCTCTTCTTTTTGTTGCTTTCAGATTCAGCCACTAGTGACTCAGCCAAATCTAAGGTGAGTACCCCGGTGGGCATTCTAATTTGGCTGTCCCCAGGTCTGATTTGAAAAACATGGATTTTTGTTTTGTGTGTCGGACGATCTCCAGCCACGTCCGAGTTAAATTTGGAGCACAGTCGCATTTCCTGTCTCCTGTTATGTTGGTCCGTCCCGGGCCTATATGTATGGTGATCCGTCATTCTGAAAGTGGTTGTGTGACAGATACTTCCTGTTTCTGCAGGGCTCTTGGGGGCCTGGCAAGGAGCAGTACAGCAAGGACCTTCTGCGCACATCCATCTTTGCGGCGGCGAGCCGCAAGCGGAAGAAAGTGAAGGAGAGGCCGGCGCTTAGCAGCTCGGACGATGATCTGGACAGGGCGGTCCTAAAGAAAGAGGCCCCAGGCCAGAGTCACAGCGTGGCCAAAACTGGGGGAAAGATCGCGGCAACAGCGGCACATGACGTGGATATGAAAGGGACCTGCGGGAAAGACGCCGGGAAGGTCGCAGAGTTACCGGCCAAGGGCCCAATTGAACAAGAGAACGTTGTCTCGCAGAAGGAGCCAGACCAAACTGGGCCACCTGCCCAGCCTCCCTGCCCCAAACTGGCCAGCTCACCCTCCCTGGGCTATCGCCTGCCGCCGGAATCCTCGCTTTCGGACCCTCCATCCCACTGCGACGACGCCACCTCAGACCTAGGAACCTTGAATAGCACCAGTTCTCAGATGTCCACACAGCGGAGTCGGCATGGGAAGCGGGCACCCCTGGAGGTGTGTGGCCCAGCCGCTGATGTGTGCTCCATCACCTCGGACTATTCCACCACGTCCTCCATGACCTTCCTGACCGGGCACGAGGCCGGGCTCCTGAGCCCAGAGGTTCAGTCGGTGGCCGAGAGCCGAGGCGACGAGGCAGACGATGAGCGAAGCGAGCTGGTGAGCGAGGGCCGGCCGGCTGACACAGACAGTGAGAGTGACTTCCCCATCTTTGCCAGCCATGAGGGCTCACAGGAGAGGATCCCGCCCTCGACGAGCACCCCGGCCGGGAGCCTCAACACGGGCCCCAGCCTGCCAGCACCCGACCACCGCCGCCCCGCCCCCGAGCCATCCTTCGAAGGGGGGCTGGGTAGCAAGGAGTTGGGCTATCTGTCAAAGGGGAGGCCCCTGTCCAGGAGCGAATCTGAGAAGCAGGAGCAGGCCTGGCGGCAGAGGATGACCGAGAGGCTGAAGTGCCAGCTGAGGAACTCGGCCGACGATATGTTCGGCGTGGGCGCTCAGAACTCCGGATCGCCCGAGGCTCGCAAGCGGAAGGGGATTAGGCGGCGCCACACCATGGGGGGGCAAAGTGACTTCGCGGAGCTGGGCGTCGCCGACATCTGGAGGGGCCGCAGCCAGGAGTCAGAGCTCTCGGCCATGGACAGGCTGAAGCCTAAATGCAGCTCACAGGACTTCTCCATCCGGGACTGGATCGCCCGGGAGCGATCCCGTTCTAGCAGTCTAGCTCCAGCTGGGGAGGCAGGCGGGTTCCAGGGAGCGGCAGCAGAGCAGCTGAACGGGGATTATCCCGAGAGGAGGGTGCCTCCGGTGGACACGCACAAACCCTCTGGATCGCAAGTGGTCCGCTCCAGATTCTATCAGTATCTATAACACAGGAAGGTGTGTGTGCGGGCGTGTGTGTGTGTGGGTGCGCGTGTGACGTAAGTTATGGCTGCTGCACTTCAGTGTTTTTATATCAGTGCAAACAAGGGGGGGGGGGTCGTAGCAGTAACAACTGGAATCTACGCTGCATTTCTGTAATATTTGACAACAGTCGGACAGGTCTGCTGGTTGTTGGATGAGGACATGGGAACACTGGGAGGACTACCCAGTAAGGATTACTGGGGGACCCCTTCACCCCAAGCCTGAACTCAAATTGGAAAGGAAAGTGCCTCCTGCCATATCAATTCTGGGAGAGTTTGGGTGCCATAGTGTCTGTTGTTAACATGTAAAATTGTACTGTGAATTAAAATTTTAAGTACAAATCATTTGATAGGTAATATACAGATAGGCATCCCATCTGGGTCGGCATATTTTATAAGTATTGTTGCTTTTTTGGGTTTTAATCGACCTTAGATTTTAAATATTTCTGTAAGATAAGTAAGTTAAATGTACATATTTTGTGTCTAGCTGCTTTTCTGGCACCAGATTTTCCGTAATGTGACGTGTAGATGGAGAGCGCGGGGAAAGCTGGGCACGCAATGGCTGTTCTCGTCGCTTAGAGCCGCGCGAACAGATGATAAAAAAAAAAAAAAAAAAAACAGGACGCCGTACATCTACAAAAGGAGTCTTACCGCCTAAAACACTGGAAATAAAATCGTTATGTCACTCCTCCTGGCCGGTGTCTTTTCAGGTTTCAGGAAGTTCCTGCAGCATTCGTGTTGATCTCCATCCTGCGATGTTCTGGATATTTGTCATAGTGAAGTGTTTACACACAAAACTGCACGTTAATTGCATGTTGAATGCATATTTACTCAAACAAAATGACTGGTAAATGCCGGGAGCTTGGTGGGTACGGAAGTGCACCTAGAACCGAGTGTTGCTGCTTCAACTCCGGAGCTGAAGCAAATGCTGTATGTGAGTGTAGTTCCCCCACGCTCCTCTAGATGTCATCCAGGCGGGCACTTTGTTGTAAGTTATAGGCGCCTGCTGTTCAGCTCCACTTTTCTAGAAAATTTTCAGTCCCCGTCATTTCATGCACATTGTTTCCACTAATCAGACCTCATCGGAGCAAAGAAAACATTGTTCTGTTTTCGGATTGCTTGTGCTAAACGCCTTCCTTAAAGAGCTACGCTGTACGCTGCTAAATGTGGCCTCAGTATTGTGCAAGGTGCGTGTACTGCGTTTGAAAAGCCTGGTTTGCCCCGATCTTATAAAGACTTTGCTTTATTACATGGTGACTTCGTTGATAACACGTGTGTAGCGAATCAGCTGTTTTGTAATTGAAGGCACGGGGTTTATAGACGACGAAACGCGGTGCGTTTTCCGATTGGATCAATATTAACCATTTAAGTTTTTGAAATATGATAACGCCATTGCGATATCCCTTTGAAACTTTGATCATGGTTGGAGGTTTTATCGTTTCTCTTATGCTTTACATGGTACTTTTATTTTACAACCTGCACTGTTCAGAAGGTAGGGGAGCAAATTCCCTTTTTGGTGGGGGTGTTCCTAGATTAATATGAAAGATTCTCGTGGCCTGTACTACGAAGCGGGGTTACTGGCTGATCAGGGTAACTTGTCGGATTTAAGGTACCACAGTTTAAATGGACTTCATATTCGTTCCCTTACATTCTGCCCAGACTAGCTTAAATCCGACAAGGCCCCCTGTCCGTCTTCTCAGTGGGACTGATGTGTTTGGCATACACGTCTAGTGAGTTTTTGACCGTAACAATAAATAATAATCTGACGTGACAAAAAGAATACTACTCTGATGTCGATTAAAATTCCTCAGTTCAGGACCGGTCAGTCCTATAGGCGATACAGGCAGCAACATTGGGCACCAGCTGCTGAGGGGGCGCCGACTTGCTGGCCAATTTCACTTGGCCTCGCAGGAGGGGGGCGTCGTCGGTAGTGATGCTCGCCCAGGGCGCCACATCAGCTGGCTGCACATAGTGGCTGTTTTTTTTTTTTTAAATAATGACAAGAATTGTGATTGCAAAATAACTTTTATTCTGACAGTTCAGACTTCCATGCCATACTTAACTTTTTTGTTCTTTTAATTTAAACTCTTCCAGTTTAGCAGGCAACATGAATTGCCACACTAAAAGTGGTACAGTACTCGCATCCTTATAGGAAATGTGGGTGCAGTACCACTTAATCCGCATCACCTGTGGCACTGTCAAATTTACAGTGGCATTATTTTCACAAAACAGAAAGACAAAACAAAAAAAAAACAATTCTCCAGAATGCTCTTTGAACAATTAACACCGAAAATGGCAAATAACAGGTCTACTGCAGCAGATGAGTTTCCACAGACCATACTAGGAAAAATGCAGGTCTACGCGGAACACAAGTTTAAAAAAGGATCAAACTTTCTTTAGCATTCCAAAGGAAAACTGCAAGGAAGGAACTTACCGTAATTACTTTAAAATGGGAAAAATTACAAACCTATTCCTGTAGAATTACATCTCAATTATATACAAACACAGACATTTTTAATATATATGTATATATACTGTATTTGGAAATGTAAATACTGGAATTCTACACAAAGACACTGTACAGCTTTGTGAGAACTTGGTGGTGTAATACTGAATGTTAGCTGTGGTTAGCTTAAAATATTCTGAGGACATGGTTGGTTTTTCAAATACAAATTGTTTATCTTTCCTCCAGGTTGATTGTTTAAAACATCTGGAACTTTCTCGGGAGTCCTTGGGAGTGGTGTCGCTGTAAAAGTAAGGCACGGTGACTAAACACTCTCTCTAGGCTCTCAGTAGCTGTTTTAAGGACGTACGACGCAAAATTAAAAACTGCTGAAAAATCGTCTCCCTAAAGTCTGTCGGTCTCTGTATCTGGTCCCAGCTGCAAACTTTTGTTTGTGCCCAGTCATAGCATTTTTTTCCCTCCCGAAATCTACTTTACAATCATACATGGTGAAAATGTCAAGCAGAGAAAAATGTGTATTTTTGTGTGCTGTTTTTTTTTTTCCCTCAACAGAAATGAGTGTGATGGAGACGGAGTGACGTTTTTCTACGTACTGTCAGTTCTAGAAAGATTCCTCCATCTTTTTATCCTATTGACCCCTAGCAGAGGGGTGGGACACTCCTTCTTGTGCTGTGAAACCCTTTAGTTTCCCTCAGCTATCCCATTTTATGAGAAGACCTAGAGGTGATCTCCCATGACCCGACACCATCATCGACCAGTCAAATCGCATGTTCTCTCTCACCATCTTCCATGCCATTGAATTTGAAGGAGCAAAACCCTATTCCAGGTGCCAAGAAGTGACAGATCTTTTCAACCACACTTTTCAAAGCTCTCTGTGAGCCATTGAGGAGGAGGAGAAGATGGAGGACAGGTGAGAAGTTTACCAGGAACAAATGTGCTAAGGAGATGTTTTGAGGACCTTGTGTTGAGGGCAAAGCAGGAGATAGGGGTCTGTTGCATATTGTGCTGAAGAAACTGGCTTGTGCTCAGGGTGGTGATGGGTCTAGTCTTCCTCCTCGCTATCTTCCTCCTCCTCCTCCTCTGGCAGCTTGTCTGGAGGCCGGAAGCACTCTTCAAAAAAGTTCACCAGCGACTGGGAAAGGTGCTGTTTGGTGTGCTGGTTATGGATGAAGTGCCCTTCATCTGGGTAGATCTGGAGAATGAACACCACATGACTTCTCAATAATGCTGATAAGGGACTAAAAGTTACTACACAAGCAAATATGAAGTAGCTAACTAATGACCATTGGTGTCAATTGGTTCAATGACTTGTTTACCTTAATTCATTCAGATATTTTCACTTAACTGTATCATGGTGGTGTTCCACTGTTTACTATCAGTCACCAATACATTATCTAAACTAACCTCTTTAGCCTTAGTGTGAATTTAGGCATTTAAACTGCTCAGCCCCAAAGACAAAATACAGAAGTTTAACCACATTTTTTTTTTTACCTGTAACGTATAATTTGCTTTTTCATTTATTAACTTTGTGATAAATGTCGCCGTGTGCTGGAAATGGACTTTTTCTGAGGAAAAATCGAGAAGAACATGGTGTCATTTTTAAATGATTAAAAAAAGGTGGGCTTGTTCAGGAAACTTCACAATTTACAAACTTAGGGAGAATCCCTGAATGTAAAACAGAAAAAAAAATTCACTAAATTGGGGAGAAAGATCTGCTGCTCACAGACAGACTCGCAGGTACAGGTAGAGCAAGCAGTCAAAACTTACCATCAGCAGTGGGATGGATGATGATGTACTTCTTATCTACCAGCTGTAAGTTGCGGTCTGCCAAGTTTGCCATCTGTTGGAGGAGGAACTGGGGTGTGACTCATAGATTTTTCACAGAGAGCCACACCAAGCTCCCCTCCATCAGGCCGAGCAAAGCGAGAGGGTCAGACCTACCCGGTATGCCATGGTGCCTGTCTTGGGGAGCCCCAGGTACCGTTCCGAGAAGGCAGATGCTGCGGAGGAGAAGGCATGCAGTCATGCAGCACTTAAGACCCGATGGGGTCCATGATAGCGAGGCTCCGCTTTAGATTTTAAAAGCAAGGTGCAGTTATCCAGTACTACTCTGGGAATCATGGCTGGATGATGGAGTGAGAGAGAGGGTGTGTTTATCAGCGGCTGGAGCTGGTCTATAAAATCCTAGTATAGGCTCGAGTGAAGTCGCATGACTTAACGCGCGGCGAGGAGTCTGGCCAGTCATCCTTTCTCATTTGCGTTTAATAACCGATCGCTGACAGAAGCTGGAAGCTGTAGCTCATATGATGAATGAATAGTGAGGTCGAGATCCCACTAATAGACAGCCAGTTCCAAACCATGTCCACCATTTGGCTAACGGTGAGCAACATCTCTCAAGATCCACCTCTGCCTCCTGGCTGCTGTTGTTAAAAAACTTGTATTTCCCGAGTTAGACACCGACAGCTCGACACTCACAGTACAGTCTGAAGTCCGTGATGGGTGAAACAGCACCTCCGCACTTCACCAATGAATCTTCGGCGCCTAGTAAGCGGGTACTTAAATACCCTCCATAAACCTGCAGGTAACAGGGAAACATGCATGCTTGGTGTGAACCCCAGTCACTGTGCTGACAGCATTAAGCAATGGCTAAGGGTCCAACCCCAGCTTTCTGAAATCAGGTGATGATGACACATTTCGCAGATGGTTTTGTCGACCAAGGGACCTACAATAAAATCACGGTAACAACCCTGGGATTTGAACCTGCAACCTTCTGATCACACCAAACCAAACAGTGCCCACATGAATATATGCATATGAATAGATTGAGCTAACTTGAAGCTTGAACCCAGGTCCATTGACACACCAGCAGTGATCAGTTTCCAGTCAAACTATCCTGGCAGTGGCTGCCAATTAGATCTCACTTTGGTCTTTTAATAACAAATTTGATTTGGAGCTGATGTGCCCTGTAGAGATTAAAGCACACGGCCAGAAAGGACCACGCGAAGGACGAGGTGTCTCGCTCTCCATGTGTCCAGAGGCAGGATGAGTAATAATAGAAGTACGGACATGCGCAGAAGCTGCGCTCCATTGGCTCGTTAGCCGAACAGGACAGGACATCAGCAGGCGAGGCAAGCAGGTCCCTGATTGGCTGGCGGTCATTAGCACAGCTGGCACTGATTGGCTGGTGTTTTATTTAAACCTGTGTGTAACCACACTTGGGTTTCTCTGCAAGCTCATGTGAAAATATTCGCTTAAAGAAAGAAAACATACTTAACGCTTTTCGTTCTTATTTTTGCACAATAGATTGAATGGCTAGGCAGAAGGGCACAACATGCTCCGACGTTTCATTGTGAAATGGGTTGCTGTGTCCTTTTAAAATCGTCTCCCCCCCCCTTCACCCAAGCAGCTGCCCAAACACCTCCTCCAAGTTTTGACTTTTATCTGGCACGCGTCTTTTTGATCTTTAGCCTCCCTAGTCACTGATACCAATAAACTGGCATGTAGGCTGGCTGGTCGCCGATATCTACACAAACTGAAGTATTTAAACACGACTGGAAACAGAAGTACAATGAAAAGGTTATTTTATTCTCCAGACACTTGGCCTGTGGTCACTGTCAGCATAGAGGAGACGTTTGTCTCCCACCGCGGATCTGGAACCAGCGATCTGCCGCTACTTTTAGGACATGCATATTATTATGGCGATTCTACCTCAGGTTTTACAAATGAAACCATGACAGGTCTTTGCAGCTCAGACGATGTGCTTCCTTAGTCTTCTTTTTAAAGAAACTGTCCAATGTTCTCCGCGGTGCGGTACACCAAAAATGACAGGGATTCGTGGTGAGGCAGTGAGATGCGGTGGCCGTTTTGTCACGTGTCACTGTAGGGTATTATGGGCAAGTGTCAAGCCTTTAAACACCTTGTTAAATACATGCAGTCAGTCTGGTTCATTAGTTTCTCCCCATTTGTGTCTTTTGATTACATGCCTCCCAGGAGTCCAGCCAGCCTACCACTTGTAGAGGTTTCCTGACGTTTTGTGTGAAAACCTGGGAATGTATCCAAATCGCATTCTGATAAGTGACCAGAAGGTGGAGCATGTTGCTGAGTGTCAATTTATATAGAGCTGCAGGGCTGAAGGTGCTGTGTATCACGGTGGATCTTTCAGACAAACCTATAAAACCAGTGTTTTAGGTGTGATGCCATGATAATATAATTGCCTTCTAGTATACTGTAATCACATAAAATCTCATTTTAATTGAAGAGAGGCTTTTTGTGTCTAAGGGCCCTTACATTACCCAGAAACCAGTGCACCAATGCAGTGCTCTGGGTTTTTTTTAGCGAAAGATGACCGTTGCCAGTCAGTGCCTCCAGTAACACCCAGCCTTTCTGTTTATGAATACTGGTGTGACCAGACCACACACGGACACACAGGCTTTTTTGGGTCACACACACGTCTCAGCAAAAGAAAGACAAAAGAAACGAAAAATAATTACCTGGCCAAAAACTCCGATGCGTGTTTTGTCTATGTAAGTCTCCTTTGAAAAGCTTCTAAAATGGATCAAAAGTAGAGAATTCGTTAGAATTCATTAGGCCTTTCAATTAAAACCTTTCAGCTGGCTGACAAACATCAAACAATCGTGGATGACCTTAGATTAAGTTCTTGATATTGACACATAATAGCAGTGCTGTTTGGCTGACACATTTATCCAAGACCTGGCTATGCTGTTGAATATATGCTGGTGTTGGCCACCTTCATACTGCACTGTTTTCTCAGCTGCACCTGAGGGCTTCGAGTTGCTCCTTCTCCTGAGAAGGTCCCAGGTTGTGGTGAACTTTCTGTAGGAGGCTTGACCCTTGGAAGCCGCTCCCCTGCCCGTCGAAAGAAATGGCGATGGCACCGAAACTGCTGATCAGAACTGTGACCCAGTCCACTTGGTACTGCTCCGTGACCATTTGTTCTCCCGGCGTTCCGTCTCTGGGGGGGGGGTGATTAACAGCATCTGAGCCCCACTTCGAGCCAGCTGTTTCTACCTCATGACACCCCCCACCATGGTTTATAGCAAAGTCAGCCTTGTGATTAGAAAAAGCGTTTGTGGTTAGACCATGTGGGGAGAGAGTAACCAGCTTCTCATGTTGATTTATAGGAATGAGGTCGCCAAGCTGAAAGCATGGATAATTAGATAGGGAGTGGTGGAGGAGCGCAGGAGAGTGAATGGGTGCGGGGGCAGGTTTGTTGTTTCAGTGCCTCCCCTAGTGTAGTAACTGTTTGTGGCCAGCAGGGGCTCCCCAAATGTGTGGTCTGAGTGGTGGTAAACACTGCCACTGACTGGGTGTGACAGACTGCTTTGGAAGCCAGACGGATGTCCTCACAAAGACAGAAATACGTGTGTGTGATGTGTGTGTCTGTGTGTCAGGGATGCTCACACCAGGAGGAGCAGGGGGTAGTGGGCGGTGTCGGAGAAGCCAGCAGGTTTCAGCACCTTCAGTATGTATCCTGGAAAAGACCACAGACTTTAGTCGACACCCATCAGCATTCAGGGGAAGTTGACTCAGAATGCGAGATGCAGGACTACAGAGTAGTAAACCTGCCCTTCTAGTTTCAAAATCCAATTTCCATCCGAAGCAAGATTAAATTCACTCCTAATTGAGAAACGGGTTTATGTGGAAGGCTCTGCGACAGCAGTAATAGACACATACTCTGACCGTCTACGGTAATTTCCTTATATTCCACTTTCGGCATCTGCATGGAGCTGAGCGTCTGATTGAGCTCCTGGTTCGTTTCCAGGTCATGAACCTCTGCAATGAAAGAAAAACCAATCAGGCTCACAGGCAGACCTCTTTAGCATAGATCTCACACTTCTCACACTTCATACATTTCTTCGGGTAGTCCTGAGTCACAGCTTCCTGTTATAGAGCCCTAGTACCACCACTCCAGGAAGTGGAACACTAATGAGCCAATAGAATCACATCTTTAAAGGAAGTTAGCAGATTAGGAAGGTAGCAGATAGGGTGTCGTTGAAGACGGGGACTTGAAATCTGTTTCTGGTGCTATAGGACAGTCATGCTGTTGTATTCTGTGGCATTACCACAACTATACAAACAGGGAAAGGGCAAATCTGCAAATTATCCTCCCTTCTGCTGACCTTCCGTGACACTCTTTCTTCTACCAAATGATGGGCGATTCCTTTCAAATGCGCATGGACAGAAAAGCCCGACACCCCCTCCCCGAGGAATGCCTGAGGCCCACCCAGCACCCATATGGCTCTCAGTCGCCCGACCGCCAGGACCAGAGTCACACCCAGCTGCCATAAATATTTAACTGGGTTATAAATAGTCAAACTAAGAACAAATGATTTCAGGTTCAGTAACCATGTGCGACGGCCTCCATGTGAGACCCGGCCGTTTGTCCGGATGGATTCGGTGACTTGTCTTGAGGTGACAGGATGCTTCAGGGGCTGCTCGTGCAAAGATTACTGTCACAGTCATGTCAGCCATGCTCCTCCTAATTAGACTGCAAACAAATGTCCCTTTGAGCAGATTAAAATGTTCTAAAATCCCGAGAAACCGGCACATCTCCCATGGAATAATCTTCAGATGCTACCAACATGTCATCCTTCCAGCAAACATGGCTGTCCTGCACTCTTGGACTGCTAATCTCTGGTGATGGTACTCACTCATTCGGTCAATGGTCCTGTAGACAGCCGTACTGGGCACGCCAGGACCTTGGAAAAAGGAGAGATTGAATGCAATGGGAGCAAATTGTCTTCGGGACACAGAGTTTTTGTCTAAACTATTTTAAATCTCAAGGTTGACAGGCAGGGTCTCCTGACATATGTCTCCCTACAGTGACCCCTGTTGGACTACAGTGTGCTTCCACACAGACTGAACAAGGTTACTGTTATTTTTTTTCCAATCTGTCTCATTTAAGATCCACAATAAATGGAGTGGAGGCTGTGTGAGGGACTCTGAAGGTTATGTTTGCTTTGTCCATTCACAGTTCCCTCATTACTTGTGACAAATGATCCCATTGCAACAGAGTGTTGTTTTTTTGAGGTATATGTGTGTGTGCCCACGACCAGACCCAATCAGTGGAGCAGGAGCTCAGCGATGTCTCACTCTGTCCGAAAATGGAAGCCCTTGTTAAATTGGTCAGAAATTCCACCAAGTTCTCAGCATGCAAGGCGAGGTTTGCTTCCCCTGTGTGGCACTACTCAACACATAGAGCCACTCGAACTTTACTGGTTCTGATTACCTCACAGTATGGACTCTATACGTAGTGCACAGGGTTGTAGGGAACCCTGGAGCCGATCCAAAGTAGCTCATGGCACAAGCTAGGGGACACCCTATTCTGGATCACGGTTCGTTGTGCTGCACATGTACTCACATGCTATTGGCAATCGGGAGATGTTAGCTCTCCTTAGCTGCATGTCATTTGTGTTGTGGGAGGAAATCCATGAAAGGCAGCACAGACAGACTTCTCATAGTCAGAGTGAAGGTGCGATTCGAAGCTCCAGTCCTGGAGGTGTCTGTGCTACCGGCTGAGCCTCCATGCCAACTTAATGAAGTCTTGGATGTCTGCACACACCATTTACAAAAGACTCTTTCCTTATTTCTCCATGTTTAAATACAGGATGAGTGAGTTTTCTTTATATAAAAGTTTTTATAAATGGCTTACTAGCGAGGACAGAGACGGGTGCAAAGTTAACGAGACTGGGGGATCGGAAAGTGGGGCTGCGCCTCTGGCAGCCATTACCTTGCGGGCGGCTTGAGGGGTAACCGGCATACCTACCTCTGCAGGACAGGAGGAAGTACTGCATGTCACGGCTGAAGGACGCTGTCACATAGCCACAGGCGGGCAGGTTACAGGACAGGCACCGTCTGTTGAACTGGCCGGTGGTATCTGCACTGGAATGTCAACCATCACACTTAGTCAAGCGGTCCGACTTTTCGTCATTTGCCATGTAAACCGCACTGTTCTCCATCGGCCTCAGAATTTGCTAATTAAAGTAATTACCTGTAGAGGTGCCTTCGCTTGTGCCCGTCCTCCGTGCTCAAGAAATATCTGTCAGACATGAAATGGTGTATGACTAATAACTCTGTAGTTCTCATCTCTGTCTGCATTTTGAAAGTTCTGAAGTATATTAATGAGGCTAAAAATGGAAGGCGAATTATAATTGCAAAAAGGCTTTGGGGATGCATGAGTTATTCTGTAAGCCAGGAGCGATTCCAGGGCTTTTTTTTTAAGGTGGGGGGCATAAGAGGGACCATAATTGATACAGAGGAGCCATCCTTGTTATTAGCTAATGATGTGTTTTGATTTGATGAGTGACAATGGTGTGGGCAGTCTGGGGGGGCCAATCAGCTTTCAAATGGGGCCAAGGGGTGGAGAGGGGATTGGAAATAGGGGGCAGGAGGGCAGCATGGTGGGGCGACACTCACACCGACTGGCTGACTTCATTGTAGCCCAGGATCTCCGTCACGTCCCAGTCCCCCGAGGTGATCGACTGCAGGCTGTCGCTGCTCGAGTTTGGCTTCAGGCGACAACGAGACAGGGGGATGGAGTCTCTGACGTGAGGTCATTTCATGCAGAACATCCATCCTTCAGCTCCTTAATGTGCAGTGCTGGCTAAAGTCCATGAGGTGACCAAGGCAAGATTCGCCATCACCCCATCATCAGCCTGCCACGGGTGGGGTTGGTACTGACAGTGGGCACTCCCTCAAGAGATGCTGCCCAATTACCCATCTTGGTCCTGCCAGGATCCGCCCAATGTGGGATAATGAGTGTAGAAACCCCCAACGCCCCCCCCCCCCCCCCCCCCCCCCCCCCCAGTGTATACATGCAAAAACAGGGTCCTACCTGCAAGGTGGACATTGAGATGTGGAAGAACCTCCCCCTTGCTCCCTGACGAATGGCTCTTGTAAAGAAGAACTTGTGTCCGTCTTTGGAGAACAGGGGGGCTTCATTCTGCGGGCGTGACCATGTTTGCTGAGTGCTCGTCACGCCATAACTCACACATATATGCACGACTCGCACCATCATACTCACAGCGAGTGCGCGAAACCCACCCCAGATTCAATTTAAATTTACATAAATATGGATTTCCTCAACGTATTTATTTCAGTTCATAAAACGTATTAACATGAAATCCTTTTGCGCTACCAGTATAAACCAGAGCCGAATTATGCATCACAGTATCACTTCTGAATTTAGCTTTCACATGACATGAGTGGAAATGGATGTGCTCAATATCATGAATTTCATCAGCAGATCTCATTATTTTGGTGTCATCTCAGGTAGAGCTTTAATTTTTGAAAGTTTGTTCTTGATTAAATGAGGAATAGGATTGTTCGGCCTGTAACTAAGTCACATACCTGTCTGTTAAGCCAGTTTTCACTGTCATCTTCATGTTTCTGAAAAGAAAATACAAACCCATGTGTAAATCCATCACCTGACACCGATCAGGGTGTTTAGAGGATGGATGGATAAATCACTGAAAGAATTCCATACCCTTCCATTTCATTTGTTGTGAATTTTTGTGGTACTTCTGGCTTAAAAATATTCTTTAAGCTTGTGACTTTATTTGAACTGGCACAACCATAATCCAGCAACACAAAGTATAAAAAACTCAAGAGGAGCAGTTGGAAGATGGATGGATGGATGGATGGATGGATGGTGTCATAATCAAGAAAGTTCCCAGGGAAAGTCCTAAAGTGAGATTCTGATTTTGAAAGAACATAAGAAATTTACAAACGAGAGGAGGACCATTCGGTCCATCAAGCTAGTTTGGGGAGAATTCAACTCATAGCTCAGAGATGTTAAAATCTATAGTAATATATCTTAAATGTTGTCGAGCGATCCACCGGCGCGATCCCCCTCTATCCCCGATTGGTGAAGTTTACTGGCAGTACACTCCTGCCGCCACCCTGATCGAAAAGATTGACAGCTGATTAGCATATTATTGATGTTCCATCGCTTTCGATTCCTTCTTGTTTCTCTTTCAGCTCCAAAAACAGCTCAAATGGCCCACATACTGTAGGGGCCTCTACCTATGTCATCCCCGGGCCCCCAGAAAATGTACTCCTGTTGCCACAGTGTTACCTTGGTGCAGACGCCAGTGGTGGCCTCACACAGAGTGAGGAAGGAGATGTTCTGGGCCCGGTTCAGCCAGTTCACAGCCAGTTTGGTGCTGGTGGCCCACTTCACCATGGTTATGTAATACTCCCTGTGAAGGAGTGAAATTGTTAGCATGGGGTTCGAAGATAGACTGGTACAGAAATCGAGATTACAAAACACTGGCTCAGACAGGGAGACAAGAGAGGCTGGTATAAATAGGGGCTACAGCAAGGCCTGGTACGTCAAAGGGGATTACAGGAAGGAGTGGTATAAATAGGGGCTACAGCAAGGCCTGGTACGTCAAAGGGGATTACAGGAAGGAGTGGTATAAGCAGAGGGGCTACAGCAAGGCCTGGTACGTCAAAGGGGATTACAGGAAGGAGTGGTATAAGCAGAGGGGCTACAGAAAGGCCTGCAAAAGCAAGAGAGGCTACAGGAAGGACTGGTATAAGACAGGGAGGCTGTAGGATTGGCACAGGAACAGCTAGTACTAACAGGGAGCCTTGAGGAAGAACTGGTACAGGCCTGGTATAGCAACGGGGGCTACAGAAAGGACTGGTACAAACAGAGAAGCTACAGAAAGGCCTGCAAAAGCAAGGGAGGCTACAGGAAGGACTGGTATAAGACAGGGAGGCTCTAGGACTGGCACTGGAATATCTAGTACTAACAGGGAGACTTGGGGATACTGAAAGGCCTGGTATAGCACGAAAGACTACAGGAAGGACTGGTACAAAAAACACAGCCAACACCATGTTTGAAAGGTCTAATACATTTCTGAAAACCACCATAAAACAAAATGGCTCATTTATAGTCTGTAAAATTGAAGTTGGAATTGTATGTCAAGCAGAAATATTGTGACCGCAAGGAGCCCATTAATCCTGTGTTGCTCATTGTAATATTTAATGCACAACTGGGATGTGAGTAAATCAATGGAATATGTCTCCTCCATGCCGCTAGTGAAGGTATCTCATAAGCCCCAAGTTCACAGACTTATTTCTCTTTGTTCTCATTTAGCACAGGCAGTTTTCACTTGTAATCCTGTGCTCTCAGATCAGTTATAGCAGTCAAGTGGCTATTGGGGTTGACCTTTTTTTTATCTCCCTTCAGTCTCCTTTGTTGGAGACTTATGAGATTTAGCACTTCAAACTTCTGCTTGCATGGTGATGCTATAAGATTAGGAATCCCGATCACTGAACACTAAAGGACTGCAGCACCAGCATCCTTCCTGAAGCGAGGTGAGCAAAGCTGTAGGCGAGGTCAGCGGGATTTCCTCTAGCTCAATCTAGCTCATCTATTTCAGTTGCAAAAATGAAAACATCATGCTTGTGCTTTAAATAAGATGTGTATTCTGGTTTTCAAAAAAAAAAAAAATATTGTATTCATCTACTTTGTATATATATGCCCTTCAAACACATAAAACAATTATGGTCCCAGCACAGAGCCCTGGGGTACACCACAAATCACTCAGGTGTGTGATTTTAAAAAGTTTGTGCTTGATAGCCTATTTTATAGCCTTAAAAGTATAGTACTTAGGATTGCAACCTCCTTTAATTTTAGTATCAAAACTTCATCAAAAGCATGTTTGGTGGATTTGCCCTGTCAGCTTTACTTTCCCTTGGTTTTTGTCCCATTGAAAATTAATACATTGTAATGAAAGTTATTATATTGAAATGCAAATTCCTTCACTGCGACAGCTGCTGGCGGTAGCAGGATGTTGAGTACGTACCCAAACCTCTGGTCCTCTGGGCGTTTCATCTCCACTGTGTGCAGGGGTCCATTCAGGTTCACCACATACAGGGAGATATCTGGGTTCTGCTCCCCTGCCTGTAGGGGGAACCAGAGGCATGACAGGATAAGTCCAGTTCCACTGCCAGCAGTGCTAGATCAGGTCACTCTCCCACAGAGGTACCTTGGGGTAGCGGTACTCCATCCCAGTTGGGTAAGCCGAGCCAGTGAACATGGGGATCTCCATTTTGGGTACCAGTGTGTCATTGATGGTGGTGTATGCCAACCTGGCACCATCCGGTGACCACCAGTGAGCAATGTAGCTCTGGAATATCTCCTCTGCAAACACACACACAAGCACAGGCACTCTGTCATTGATTGTCCCTGGAGGAAGTGACATCATCACCTCAGAAAATGACATGCCTGGGGAGCTCCCAGGGTTCGTGACCCGAGTCAGAGAGATGCGCATTTAGCTAATAAATCCACTATGCGGAGAGAGAGCAGCACACGCACAGTAAACAAACACACCGCTGTGAGGCTGCTACCAGGAAGTGAGCCAGCTGCCCCTGCAAACAGGAAGTGCAAATGTGCGCGAGTCGTTACTCTGTAAGCTGTGTGGGAGGAAAGTCACCTTTGTCGATTTTATGTTAGACTTTTTCTGGCAACTTCAGAAAAGCCGTATTAAACAGGGATGTGGGTGATGGGGTTAGCATAGTAATGCTATGCAGTCAGGAGGCTCCCAGGAACTAGCTTACTGAAATGTAGGTTAGTGGCTACGTGAGAGTAATACTCCAGCCCCCAACTCCTCTTAAAAAGTCTTGAATCCCTGCAGACTGATATATTGGACCCTGTGTGCAAGATCGTGGCTCTGCTTGGGCCTTAGCCTTCTGCTGCTGATCACTGATTCCTGGTCAAACTGATCCCTGTGATCACAGAGCCATTCTTTCGGCATTCTGACAGCTCTGTTGAAAATTTGACGAAAAGGCTTACGACGGTGGAAAAGATTCAGGGGTGAAGGTGAATAGCGTATTCTCCTGATAGCATGATATGGAATAGCGGAGACTGTATGTGAGAAACTCGCTGGGATATGAAACTGCAATTATCCCACGGGAAACACAGTGAGAAAATGACTGTCTGATCCAAAACCCACTGAAGGAGTGAACACTTACCACAGAGGAAATCACTGACCAGTGTCACCAGTTGGTAGCTCCATGTAGGCTGTTAACCAAACGGTAACCCCACACTCTAAAACACGCTGCCAACTGGAACCAACCATTGAAACAGAGCTCATTATGTCTTTAACATGAGAAATGGCCGACACTGTTACCCTCCTATACATCAGACAGATCTATAGCCGTGCTGAAGAACAGGACCCAAGTGCCTCGGAGCTGGGTTACTTTGGCATTGCCAGGTTCAGACCCGCTCACCTTCTGATTTAATTAGCACAGCATCATGAGCAGGAGTGAAGCCGAGCCGAACGACCCAGAAAGCTGTGTGCATCCCCCCTCGGGGGTGAAGAGCCATCTGGAATGACCACGACATCGTACATTGGGTGAGGTGATCTGAACACCCCCCCCCCCCGGCTCTGGCTCAGTGACACGAAGATGGACTATATGTGATATGCATCTGTGCTGGCAGTGGCGTTTAAAACACAGAGTGTGTCAATTACTGTTAGTTCCTTTAAACGGAATTTAAAAGCAGTTTTAAGGTATGTCAAAGTGCCGCACCCAACACTGCCCTTAATCCCCAGAGTCAAGGGGGCTGAGACTCCCAAGGCAACCCGCCTTGGCAGGGGTACCCAGAAGACCTTTTGGTGGCCTCCCGGAGGAGGCAGACTGCTGTGACATCATCGCTCCCCCAAGCTTTTTTTACGGCGGAGTCTGGGCTGTTTGTTTATTTACTATCTCTGCTAAATGAGTCACATGATTATTAAACCTGGCCTGCAGAGGGTTGCAGACTGATGCGCTGGCTAATTAGGGCTCCAGGTTTCCGCCAAACTCCCTGCGTCCGCCGGCCGGCCAGCCGGCCTCTGTCACTGGCTTGCATCATCCCTCAGACTGTCTTTCCGCTCCGGCATAATCCGGAAAAATATTTTCCTGCAACCAAAATCGGCACGTCATGCAGGTTCATACTGTATAGTGCCTCGCTGCTGATTTCTCAGCTTTTCAATATTACTAACAAAAGTGAAAAATATAACAAAAAAACCCCCCACTAATTTTCTTATTAGTGTTTAGCGTTAACTTCTTATGATGATGTTGTGTTCTTTAAATAACCACAGGGTGGCAGTAAAGGCCATTGGAAAATGAACACAGTCCCCCGTATAGAAGAGTTTGAGCTGCAATGTTGTGAATTAAGCCTGACACCTGGCTCGTTGATGCAGACCACAACAACGTGCCACACCACCATCTCCTAGGACACCGATTCCAAGGTCTACCACTCATTCCTTTTTTTACATCCGAGTCCAGTTTATGGCCAGACAAACTCAATTTTAGATGGTACTCCACAACAAACTGCCCCCCCTCCACATATGATGTCACCAGGTTCACCTGTGGGAGGGGCCATACGCAGACTGGTATGGTTAGTGACCATTAGCCATTGGTATTCTGACTAAATCTGACAGAAAAAAACACTAACAATAACAGCCTGGCTGTTTGAGTTGCTTTCTTCATTGATTTGAGTACCATGTTTCACAGCCCATTCCAGTCCCATGGGCTGGGGTTAATGAACACTGTGATTGCCAGTAGCAGCCATTCCATAGGGGTCGCAGGTGAGACTCATGGTGAGACGAGCCAGTCCGAATGGGACACAGACTCTTTCAAAGGGGAGAGGTGCCAGTCCGAATGGGTCACAGACTCTTTCAAAGGGGAGAGGTGCCAGTCCGAAGGGGACGCAGACTGTTTCAATGGGGAGAGTTGCCAGTCCGAAGGGGACGCAGACTCTTTCAAAGGGGAGAGGTGCCAGTCCGAAGGGGACGCAGACTGTTTCAAAGGGGAGAGATGCCAGTCCGAAGGGGACGCAGACTCTTTCAAAGGGGAGAGTTGCCAGTCCGAAGGGGACGCAGACTCTTTCAAAGGGGAGAGGTGCCAGTCCGAAGGGGACACAGACTCTTTCAAAGGGGAGAGGGGCCAGTCCAAAGGGGACACAGACTCTTTCAAAGGGGAGACGGGCCGATTCAATGGGGAGATAGGCCAGTCCGAAGGGGATACAAGCCAATTCAAAGGGGAGATGGGTCAGTCCGAAGGGGATACAAGCCAATTCAAAGGGGAGATGGGNCAGTCCGAAGGGGATACAAGCCAATTCAAAGGGGAGATGGGTCAGTCCGAAGGGGATACAAGCCAATTCAAAGGGGAGATGGGCCAATCCGAAGGGGATACAAGCTAATTCAAAGGGGAGATGAGCCTGTCTGAAGGGGAGACTGGTCGATTCAAAGGGAAAATGAGCTGGTCCAAAGGAGATTGTTTCAATGGGAAGATGGGCCAGTTCACAGGGGATGCGGTAACACTTCAAAGGGGAGACAGGTCAATCCTAAGGAACTCTGACCTCAGCAAGTTAAACTGTCAAGAAGCACCAGATGACAGACACCATCTTAACTGGCAGACAACCCAGTGAAGCAAGCCTTTCGATGACAAGATCTGCTCTCAACCGACTAAAACCTCACAGTCGTACTGTCCCAAGATCCACAGGGTGCCCTTGGGTGAGTGAGAGGGAGCCTCAGAAGCCTCCAGGAAGCACACGTCAAAGCCTCGGGGAAGCACACGTCAAAGCACGGACCTCAGAATCAGCAGTGCAGTGCGGCCAAACTGAGCCTCAGGCTCAGCTCCTAACCGGCACCTCAAATCATGATGAAATGATGAATGTAATTAATGAGTAATTCCTTCCGATTTCATCATGCTACTCCATTTGCTTTTCACAAATGCTCTAATTCCCTTCAGTTCTCATTACTCATTACTGTACTAAAAGTTCATGCAAAAAGTCACTCCTGTTCATCCAGACATAGACTAGAAACAAACCATTGTAACTGTATTATGCTGGAAATATATATTATAATACATGGATAACATTTTTTAAACTCTAAAGCTCAGAGGTTTGCATTTTTTTTAATCCCATTTGCTGAGATAAGGACTGCAAAATCCGATACTCATGAAGTATGATCCATAACCTTTAAGATGATAGTAGTGCTGTAATCGTGTAACCACTTCTTATATTTAGACTGAAAGTAGAAAGTGATCACTTCATTTTAATTACAAAATGTGTTATTATCTAAGAGCCATGATTCTTCAAATATGCAACAGGCAGTCAGTCACCAAGGATTGCATTTAGTAGAGGGCTATACTGGCTCCATTTTCAGCTGATATCTATATGAGATTTAAGTCCCTGTTAGCCTCCATGTTGGCTCAGTATACAACTGATATCTATAGGGGACTTAAGCTCCCATTAGCCTCCATGTCGGCTCAGTGTACAGCTGGTATCTATAGGGGATTTAAGTCTCCATTAGCCTCCATGTCGGCTCAGTGTACAGCTGGTATCTATAGGGGATTTAAGTGTGCTCAGTGTTCAGCTGCCTTTACATATTTCAGAAAAAAATGGCAGGTGTAAATTACATGAGAGCTCTGCTGAGAGCCAGGCAGGGTGATTAAGAGATGAGCACTGCTAACGACGTGAGGTTCAAAAGTGTCTCCTGTTTGATTCATCAGTGAGATCCAGCAGGACAGGGCTTATTCATCATCATGGTGACATCGCACTGACTGTCACCTTCATGAACTTTATGACAAAACCCAAAAACGGGACACCTGCAGACTAGTTCTGAAAGAGGCCCCGTTCTTTGTTGAGATGTGGGTTGTTTCTGAGTAAAATTGGTCAGAGGATAGTGTGAGGGGTTTTTTTTTTTTGCTAAAAGAGGAGATGAGGCTGTCGAAGATGCTGTAACCTCTACAAACAAACATTTTGATAAATTACAAAGCTGGGAACAATGACTTCTCGGAGGAGATGAGTCAGCCCGCCAGAATCCAGAAAACAAAATTCTCTGTGGCATTTCCTTCGGCTTTTTTTGAATTAGTACTGTTTTGTTGGTTTCAGTTCTTTGTTTCTTTTTGTTAGTCCATATGTTAGAGTTTGTTTTCCATATTAATACTAAGAAATGCTGAAATGATGTTGTTTTGGTAACGGGTACCTCCTGTATTCCACGCCGATAACGTTGTTTGTCCACAAACGTCCACGAACGTCTGTATAATAAACAAACTGACCAAGTAGTGGGACATCAATGCTGGCGGCTCCCACCTTCGTACAGCCAGTCGCTCAGGCCATTGAAGATGACTCCCTCTTTTCCAGAAGACACCAGGCGTATGGATCGACTTGAAACGTCTGCCCGGTAGTAGATGTTGTTCTCGAATATGAAGATCTGTGAAGGACATAAATACAGCGAATGAATGGATAGAGAACCAGCTGATTCAGTGCATGAGAGCCCTTGAATTACCGTACTTGGGATTCTGTGAGAGGACTGAGACAACGGGACCGTTTGGTCAGAGGTCGGGGGTCAGTATGGTTGTTCTGTTGCGTTGGATTCTTTCACAGCCTGACAAACGCTTCTGCAAACATGCAGGTCAAGCTGGACATGTGATCTCAGGTCTGTGCAGCACAAAACAAGCGTCTTCTGTCTGCATATTCAGGGCGTCGCCCTCGGTCAGACTAAGCTGGGACCCAGGGCTGAGATGGAGCACACAACCCCCCACCCACCGCATCTGACGCGCTGAGTCACTTGTGTTTATGAACGCGTTGCCCTGCCACGGATTTCACGCTCCGCTGCGGTTTTCGAGGCTTTTCAGAACAAAACAGAGGGATGAAAAGAGCAGGAGGAGGGAGATGAAAGGCACGACGGAGCTTCAGAGCGGCACGCTGAGCCGGTGACATCACCGTGCGCGCCACCAGTGCGTGCGTGAAGCATCTGAAATCGCCCCCCCGCCATCATTCCCCTGAGAACCCCCCGTTTCCGCCTCTCTCTAGGTCACCTTGAGGAGGAAGGGGGCCTCATTCGCAAAGCACTTTTCCCCACAATATGACAGATCTCTCCCAATGCTTGCTCTGCATTGAGACAGTACCATACCTCTTCCTAGCCTGCAGGTGGCGCTGTGGTGTTGTGGTGACGTAAGCCTGTGCAGTACACTTAGTGGCCTGCTTCACAGATGGCTGGAATCCGGTCAGGAATGAACTCTTGGACATAACACAAGCACTCCGCATTGATGTAATGTGTCTGTTTTGCCCCCTTGGCATTATTGTATTGAAATGTAGGTACATAGCAGTTAGATTGTAAATGTGTAGCAGTTTGAAAAGTGGGCTTGACTTCAAAATGAGTTCAAAGCCGTTTACTTCTCGGAGATTTACAGCAAAGCTTGTGCCAGAGCAATTTTAAAAATGAAAGCGAATTTTGCTGGAATGCTCATGATCATTATATCCAAATTAATTAATAGTAGTAACGATCTGGAAGTGGTCACTCAGGGATGCCCTACAAATCCATCCTAAAGATCTGAAGAGGAAAGCTGACATTTTTCCTACATGTTTAACATTTTGGAATATTTCATGCTGTGCATCTGATAAAGGGAATAATTCTGCAGCCTTTTGACTTATGAGAGACACAGTGGGACCATCGTTTCACACTCGGGTACCTAACTGCCCCCGGGGTCACTGATCGAGCTGCGTCACACTGCCGGGGGTGTTATACAGCTGTCCATGTTTCCTACCAGTGTTCACTGATCCAGTGTTACAGTGAAACTGGCATTGTTTCCAGGGACGCCTACAATGCGTTAGTGATGAACAGCTACAATTTTACCGTAGAACAGAGCGAGCACAATCTTACACTTCACCTGTACCTTATAGGCAGCTATTATGCGGTTCTTTTAAGCAGACCCAGACCCAGACCCAGACCCAGACCCACAAATCTAAGGGGGCAGTGTGTGGCTCAGCGTGATACGACTGGACTGGATCCCTGGAAGACTGATGTCGCTGTTGGACCCCGGAGCAAGACCCTTAACCCCCAGCTCCAGGGACGCTGCACGCTGGCTGACCCTGTGCTGGGACCCCCAAGCTTGCTCTCACCTAGGTCTGTGTCTCATGGAGGGCAAGATGGAGTATGCAGCCAAAAAAATACCGTTCCTGAATAGGGATCAATAAGGTATCATTATTCTGTTCTGTATCCCTTTTCATTTCCTTTTCCTTTTGGAGCTTCTCTCAGAAAGTGCAGGGGACAGGATGCCAGGCCAACCCAGGGCATCTCACACACACACACACACACACACACATGCCCGCAAAATGTATGACATAAGAATGTGATTTTGTATGTGTGAACTTAAAAAGAAAATATATAAACATGACTGAGCATTCTCCAAGCACCCAGTCATCAGAGCGGAAACAAGTTCACTTGCTGTCGGATTAAATTTATCTTCACAATGCAACCAACATGATAACAAGAAGCGCCACCCACTTTTGTGCCCTCAGCCCTGTGGGATTATGGGTAAAAGCCTGCTGATGTCACTCAGGCCATCCTTACCAGCTGCTGGTTCCTAGGCCCCCAGGAAGCATACTGCAGCTGGGCATGGCGCACCTCGGGGGGGTTCAGGTTCCACGTCTCGCTGTGCGGGGGGGAACAGAGAACTTTGTCTCACTTTGACACTGGTGATAAAATTCCTCTCTGCAGTCATCTTGTAGTGATGACACAGAGAAGCTGAGTGCAGAGATACTGCCTTTGTAAATGACTCAGAAAAAAAGCACTGATTTTACAAGGTTAACCTGGGTCATCGCTGTTCTGCCATTCTGTCCACTAGATGGCAGCAGCCACAGAAGTCTGCTTTTACTCATAACACAGATGGGCTCATTTTATTCAATAATGACAATAATGATTAAACTACTCTGCTGCTATAAAAGCCGGCACTGACCAAACGTTCAGAATGTGAAGGAGAGTGATTCCTTACGGGGTGATCAGGCTGCAGATGATGTATGAGGCCGTGAATGAATGCTGATAAAGCTGTAAAAATAATCAAGAAGCGCATATTTCATTTACAGTTTGACAACACAATTACACGGGGACACGTGTTTCCTCCCGCTCGCATCCTCTCTCCCCTGAGGCGAGAGCTGCAAAAAAAAAAAAATGATGTAGCGTTAAGCATATCATTTAGAATACAATTTTCAACCCATTTCCATCTCATAATTGTGTAGGTTACGCTGCCAATGTCTCAGATTCACTGTTGACTCCGGGGCTACAGGGAGAGCAAGTCATGTGACTCAGTTGTCTCACACCTGCTCCTAAATATTTGGTGCAGAAGCTGACAGAGTTAACATAAACAGCAGGTGCTGAGACCTGTGTCTGCAAACATTTCTAAGCCAAGGATTTCCATTCCGGCAATTGCAAGTAGGCACCGCCGCAGTGCATGCTGGGAGGAGTTTCGAGGCACAAATATGAATCCATTCAGGCCTCACCAAAGCTATACTGTCTACTGTCCGAAATGTCCAGGCTGAGAGGGATAGACACAGCAGCAACATCAAGCTAACCCTCCAAGACACTAGGGGGCGCTGAAGCCAGATAGGTTTGTGGAGGGCTTGATTGTTGCTATCCTTAGGATTGATATTTCTATCCCAACTTCAGAAGTAGCACTCCAGAATAAAGCTCGCAGACTGGAGCCGGTTTTTGGGGGCAGATCTCGAGCATGTGCCTTTATGGGTTTTTTTCCAAGCAGTAAGAAGCCCCCCCATTCCGTAGCCAGCGTTGTGCTGAGCGTCTCCAGCGGGAATCCTGATAAGCAGTGACAGCGGGGCAAATTTAATTGAGTCTGTTATTCTCCCCAGAAAAGCAGTGGCCCAGACAGTACCCACAATGCAGTGGGCTCATCTGACCACAGGCTCAGCATGAACTGATAGGTCTGTCTAATGTATGCTGACTGAGCCTAATTAAACTGCTTTATCCTGTGCGTACAACTTCACATTATTACCGTTTTTTATTTTAACTGCAACTTTTGAATTTTTAAATAGGTCTTCCAGTCTGCGAATGAAATAAGACCATTAACCCTCTGCAACTTGCTAACTTTTTAAAATATCTTGTCGGGAATGTCTTCTGGCCTCCATAATCAGACCCGAGGCTTTAAGTACAAAGACACAGGAAATAGACTATCAGGATATTTTTGAGTATGGGGAGGAGGGCCATAAGTTTGACCAAAGAGGCTTCCTGACACAACAAGTGGCCGGACGCAGCAGTTCCCGGGCTCACGTGTGACGCTTCTGACCGTCTGACTTTCTCGCTGTTTTGGAAACAGACCGACAGCAGCGACTCACAGGGACGACGTTGTAGGCCAGCATCACGTAATTCAGGTCAGGGGACACTTCGTACTTGCTGGCTTTGTACATTACCTGTGGAGGGGGGAGAGGAGCGGACAGGGGTGAGAGCTTTAATGGTGGGTGACCCCTCCACATTTACCTCCCGGATCTCATTCTGCCTCTCAAACTTTCTTTTTTTTTCCATTTCGCCAGCTTGAAAATGCATTTCGCAAATCGACTTTAGAGAGTCCGTGCTGGCAAAGAGCCTCTGCATCATCGAAGTGCTGATGGATCACGTTAGAAACATTAAAAGAGGAATATGTGGAAAGAATCTGACAGTTAACACTTTGGTGCTGTAACAGGCAAGTCATCCGGAGAAACATTCGGCAGTCGTCCAGTACTCACAAACTTTTTGTTCTCTACTAAAACGGTCGTCCGGTTAGTCCTGATGTTGAACTTGACTACGTCCCCATCTCGTTTTCGGAACAGAAGCTCGTCGCCTGAAACGCCAAAACAAAACAAGGCGGGAGGAGAAGGTGGGGTGAGCGGCTGGGGACGTACAGGTCATGTGGTCACGGCTGCCATCTGCGATGCGGCCTGGGAGCTATTTTAAGCGTCGGTTCTGCCTGTTTACTCTGCTTGCTGTAGACAAATGGTCAAACTGTCCCACAGAACCTCAGTGCAGAGTAACTCTTACATACTGCTGTTAATCTCTTTAGCTCACCCATCCATGCAATCTAAAAACAAAGGCCTTCTCGATGACTAGTAACCAGGTGAGGAGAAATGCGGCAACGATACTTTTCGACAATGATGCTTTTCCCCCCCCCCTCTTTTTCAAAAAGCAGAGAGCAGGAGATATCCCCTCCCGTCCCGCCCGCCTGTCGTGCGGAGGGTCATTAACAAAATAATGATCGCAAAAGGCAGGCGAAGCAGCGCCCAGAGTCATGTGAGGAATTTTAAACTGCTGCACAGCCCTACTTTGGAATATTCAAATCCATAAATTCTGCTTGGAAGTTTCATTTTTTACTGTATATCTCCTGGAACATTCTGGTCCACTTCGATCGCCCAGAAAGTCCTGCCTTATCGACATCCATGTGGGACGAATTTGACTCTTAATGACTCATCCTCTCTCTGGCCATCTGTCTCTGTTACCCCTCAGGCTGTCATCACCTGAGGGTTATTCATTTTGCTTGTCCTGGGTAAGGGGCAAGGCCTGGGGTCCAGCTCAGACTCAAGGGTGCAGTGAGAAGCTAGGCTCCGCCAGAACGGGGCTCTGCTTGCTGCCCTTGATGTCGCTTTGCTGACCGCGGATTTGCCCCATTAGCATATTACCCCCGGCATGCTAATGAAGCACGCTGACAGACGACAGGTACAGGAGGACAGCTACTCAGCAGGCGGGTGCATGACGGCACCGTCTCCACAGGGCATGGCCAAGAAACCCGCAGCCAACCTGCAGCTAAAAGCACTTACAGCTCCATTGGCTCAGTGGGTTAGAAGACACTTGTGACCAGAAGGTTGTTGGTTTAAATCTCCGGGTCAACCTGGGATTTGAACCAACAACCTTTCGGTCACAGAGTGATTTCACTGTTTGGTTCTTTAGCAAGGCTCTTAACTCTCAGCTGCTCCAGGGACTGTCTAACCACGTTGGATATAAGCACCTGCCAAACAGAAGTCAAACCCTCAGATACCCATCTACAGTGGCATCCATTCTGTCTTTTTGTGTATAAATTCAGCAGCAAGGGAGGGTTTGAGTCATGTAAGATACATTTATCTTGGTTGGACTGTTCTTTCGCTTTGGTGGTGGATCTGTATCTTTCACACAGTATCCAGAACAAAAATAAAGCGAATCGCATCCACATTGAGCTCCCGGAGCGGCGACAATGCAAGGCGTGTAAACTACAGGACTCCCTTTGATTTACCTCCCTTAACACCGTGGTCCAAGGTCGCTGGTCCGCGCGGGTCGGCCGTAATGAGAAGGGCAGCAGACTCTCATTTAAAACTTTACCGTCCGCGGCGAGGCTGTCTGAGCCCCCCCACCAAATGACACGCGGCCAGGTGACAGGGCTTAAAGGTGGGAGTGTGACGAGGGAAGCGGTTGGATTTATCACCACTGTCTGCTTCATTTAATCACGCTTTGTGACAAAAATTACTAACAGTTACTAAGAACCGGAGGGAGGAGTCTGCTGTGATTTATGAAATCCGGTACTCAAAACCAGGTCACGTGTCTCTAGCTATAAGTCACATGATCTCGATGCAAACAGGGCTGAGCCCATAATCTGAACAGTCACTCGACAGACTAATGATAAAAAATGATAAATCCATTATTTGACATTTGCCAGTGCAGGTACATTGGAATTCTTCTCTTTGCCCCCCCCCCCTGTCGTGTTCTCCATAGCTGTGGGGGTCACGGGCACTTCCAAGGGCACAGAGACTTACCCCACTGAGCCACTCAAGAAGTAAGGTTCATTAAACATTTTAAAACATATATATTTTTTTGGTATGGCTGGCTGAATTCACCAGTCATGTTGATGGTGGGGTAGGCGTATCAGAGAGTGTGACCAAACCACAGTGCTCAAAATCAGACTGCTAGACAAAATATGCCCAGCGCCAGTGTTCACCACCCAAACCAGTCATTCGCAGGCGACACCCTCTTGGCCGCAAACAATCTCTACACTCGATATTAAAGAAATGATTTCCTCATTCAGGAGATGCTGAGGCAGCATGTTCTGATAACCAGCTAGCTAGATACGATCTTCTGCCTCGGCTTGCTAGGTTCTTTTCTGTTTTTGAAACATCTGGGGGGGGGGGGGGGCGGAGGTACCTTTTTCAGTGAGGATCCAGAAACAATAAACTGGGCACCCACCCAAATCCATACCCCCCTGCTTCTCTGATGCCTCTGTTTTTAGTGCCGAATATCTGTACTCATTTAAACTCTTAGCGCATTGCATAGAAATAGCTGTATCGATAAACGTCGTTCCCTGTGCCTTTCAGGCTGAACCCTGGTTCTGGTGGTCGGGTTCTGCTGTACCGAAATGACCTTTTGTCTCAAAACAGCACAGACGTTGTAGAGAATCAATCAAATCAAAGTTAAACGGTGGGGGCGAAGGAACCATCAATGGTCCATCCCATAATCAATGAGGCGAATATTAACAGGGCATTTCCAGAAGGGCATGAGTCCCATTTACATTTTGGTTTCACTGCCTGTTTTACATTCATTGCATATTGCTGTGATCAGCCGTGTGCAAAAATACACTTTTGGTAAATTTATGACGGGATATTATGTGACATGCGAGTGGGATCCGTAAGTGGGACCCCACAGCTCGGGGGTAACGGCCTTAAAAGCCCCCGAGGATTGTGCAGAATGATTGTGAAGATAGGTGGTCCCATGGTGCCTTGGGCCTGCAGGTACCCCTCCTTCTGTGTAAATACAGCGGAGGATTTTGGCAAACGGGGGGGCCTCCCCCCCATGTGGGAAGATTATAAGCCGTGCAGACAGACTCTCCCCCACTGGGCCTGTTTGACGGAATTGGAGACCAGTGGGCATCCGCCTGGGATTTCCCCGCAGAATCTTCCAGAAGCAAAATTGTCAGCATGGCTGTGAAGCCTGTTTTGGGTTAGGGTTAGTGCTCGAGGAGACTCTGGGTGCTCTCTGAGTGAGTGGATTTATATCTCTGGTTCTGGTGGTTAGTTAACTATTATGGATTACCAGGGATAATCAACACTTTCATACTCAGAATCAGTTTTCCCAGTTTTCCCAAAACAAGCTCATCAGAAAAACAGACCTTCATAGTCGAGTGTAACACATACTGTATATGTGCACGTTCATCAGATGCTAGATGATACTGTAATACGTGTAGGTACAGTCAGATACAGTATGTAGTTCACAGCCTATATACACATTCTTAAGGCATAAATAAGAGTATGTAAATGCACAGATGGGTTGCCATGTTGGCCTGTTGAACCTCACCCTACTCACCATTGATCCACCTGGCACCAGGGTCATGCGCTTTGAAAGCCTGGCTGAAGATGTCATCAACGTTGACCTTCCTCTTCAGTGCCAAGCTGTCATCTTCACCTGAACGGAAGAATTTGGTTATTTTTTAAACACCATATGAGGCACGAACCACAGATGCAATAGTCAAAAGTACGGAGGAAAGAGAATACAAGACAGCACCCTACAGATTTTCCATGCTTGGCCTCATTCTACCTTCTCAGATCTGTGCATCCTCTTGACAGGTCACATGACGCTTCTCGCATTCCCAGTGTACACGGCCCATTCCCCACCCAGGATCATAGTAGGTTCACCTAGATCAGTGTTTCCCAACCCGGTCCTCAGGCACCCACAGACGGTCCACGTTTTTGCACCCTCCCAGCTCCCTGCCAGACGGAGGGAGCGAAAAGAACCGGATTGGGAAACACTGACCTGGAGACACATCCATCCATCTGTCCATCCATTTGTCCAGAGCAGTGTCAAGGGCGATTCTACGACCCTATGACATCCCGGGCTTATCCCAGAGACCTAATCAGTCTGAGGGTTCACACACCGAGAGCTTGGTTGTTAAAACATCTGAGCTAAATCATTCGGTGCTCATTCGGAATCACTTGGGGCTTCAGCCCTCAACGTCTTGGGCTTTTGACGCATCTGAGCGGCGTACCTACAACACGACTTTGCCCCGTGTTTAAACCTTGTCCATACAACTGGAAGTGTTCGCTATCTCATCCTTGGCCAAGATCATGACAGTCGGCTGATTGCTGTACCTGCTGCGCCATCTGCCACCTTCCCATTAAATAAATAAACACCACCTGCAAAGCTGTAAATGTATCCCTAGGCATCCTCGTCCACCACCCCACTGCAGATCTGGACCTGTGACCAGCTCATCATGGACCTGATCCGTACACAGCGTGGTCAGTTTCTCCCGGCTTGAACCGGGGGGCGATCAACCCGTGATCCTGCCAGACAGATCCATGTGGAGCCAAAGGGTTCTTCTTCCTCGATCCTGCGCGATATCAGCCTTTCTCTGTCGCCACAATCTGTATGCACGGCAGGAGAAAGCTATATCTGACTTGTTAAGTTCAAATCGGTCCTGAGTTTTGTTTGTCTTCGGTAAGGGTGGATTCTGGGAAGGCTGGATTTTGAGAGTACGCAGAATGAATTTCAACGAAAGAATCTCGCTGTGCGTGACACAAAAATAGCAGCTAACCTTTAAAGCAATGAAATATAAATCCCTTTAAAATTTAACTAAATAAATGGTTCTATATATATAAAAAATAAAAGAAATGCATGGAGCAAACTAATAACATTTTAATGACTTTTAAAATAAAGGGTGCTAGTATCTCCTAGTATGAAAATTAAACTTGGATTATACTGTGGGAAAGGTGGGCAAACCCATTTTTCACTAATGTGCTGAGAGTTACCCAAAATAACCCCCCAATCAGCGTTGCTAGGACGACGGTAACGGATTACATCAATGGACGTCAGCAGCAAAAAAAAAAAAAAAAAAAGAGTACAGCTGGGCAGGGCAGGAGCAAGTGGGTGGGGTTGTGGGGGTTACATACACAAGAGAGGGGGTGTGTCCACCACACCCCACATGACCCAAAGCCTGCCAGTTCATTGGTGGAGGTGCTGGGAGGGGCGAGGCTAGAAATCCTGACAAAAGCCGACCACCGACATCCAGATATATAAAATTATAATCTCTGCTTGCCTGTTCCAGGGCCCTCATCCATTTTTGGACCCACTGAATCATTCAAGGTTTCTACCTCAATTACGATGCCCCCTGGTGGTAGGGAGTATATACACAGGAGGGCATGTCACCCTCCTTCTGCATGAACCAACCCTTGCCTGCTCATCTGTCCAGCACTCACACACATCCCAGCAAGGAGGTTTCGGGGACAGTGACAGTCTGCGGGTTGCCAGTCTGGGGTGCCTGAAAGGTTCCTCATTAGAGGAAAATGTTCCATTCTAACAGGTTTGCCTAAACATCAAATAAGTAACCACCAAATCAGGAATAACCATTCTGGGGTATGGTACAGAACTAGAACCCAATTAATAATGTGTTCTCTCAAGGCTGTTAAAAAGTGCCCTTTCCTTACACAAAGCTGACCTGAAGACAGGATGTATTTGGGTGATGGGGCTGTATGAAAAATAATCCTGTAGAGCCTGGAGGTTAGATGGCTTGGCACAGAACCTGTAGAGATACCAGTCAATCACAGCGTTGACCTGCCGGTCATGTGAGAAACCGAATCCAACTTCAGGGTCATGGCTGGCTGAATCCTGAGCGCTGCAAATCCCGTTTCTGGCAAATGAGCCCAATTAGCCCACAGCTTGCTGTTCTGAAGGTTACGGGTCTTGGCTTGGGTTTGGCCCGTTTGATCTTGGTGTGTACAGTGGGAGTGTATCAGAGAGGCGTACATTATGAGCCATGGATTAGGTGATGATCGCTTTATGATTTAACAAGGTTTCGCCTTAAGTTCAGAACTGTGGAAGGGCTTAGGGGCCTGAGAGGGCTGGCTGTCAGCTGTCAGACGGGTGGTCAGCCTCAGTGAGCTGTCCTCAGCTGAAAATGATGGAAAAGCACCTGGCCCACTTTCCACAAAAGAGGAAGAGGACCCCCCCACTCCAAAAAACGCTGTTGCTGGGAGACAGAGCGGCAACATCAGCCAGCAGACTCCCTTCTATTCTCTCCACAGTAGAAATTCTTTAAAATTCAATAAATGAATCCAAATAGAAAGATCCTGCCAACTGCTGTATCTGTCCTCAAGGTGTGTGTGCAGGGAGGGGGGGGGGCAAATTCTCCGGAGGCTAAACAATCCAAAGGCGGGACACGCATGTCCTCATGTGCGCATGCCAACCCTCCTCTGGTGAGCGGGGATTAGGCAGCCTGTCCCACACAGAGCCGACACCTGTTTGGTCCCAACAGACGCCTGCTTGGTCTCCTCCAGAGATCGCCCCCTGCAGGACGACGTGTGATTGAATGGATGTGCTGAAAAATGCTATGTAAAAAGGTACTTTTAATCTGGGGCTATATGGTTAAATCCTAATCTATCTGCTGTTGGATGGTTCAAAGACCATGTATTAAAAATGGTCCTGGACAGTGCAGATCAGCCTTTGGGAAGACCACCATCATTCAGCCTTTTTCTTCCAGCCCCCAACATCCAGCTTCCACCTTCCAGCATTCTGCCTTCATCATCCATCTGCCACCACCCAGCCTTCCTATAAGTATTTGGTTCTACTGAGTTCATTATTAATTAGCATTGATTGAGCTGAAAGAAAATCACTTGAATTTCATAGATTTAATCATCATTACAAAATTTTCCAGTAATGATAAAATTATATTAGGATTAACAATATTAAAAATTATTAAGGTTAATTGAAAGCTCAGCTGGACCAAAAACTAACATAGAGCAGATAACAAGACCCAAAGTTATCTATAGCCCAGAACTAGTCCTAAGACCTGTTTACTAAACCTTTACTTAATTTTACACCTTAATTTGAATATTGCATGTGTACAGTGACAGCTGGCTGGTTAAATGCACCACAGACTGCCTCCCTACCGCAATTGTCCAGGATAATATCCAGTCCAATCAACGCTTCCAGTCAAGTCTAAATTACAAAGTCAGTGAAAGGTGACTCTAATGATGCAAAACCTGTAATTTGGGCGGGGATGGGGGGAAACAGTGGAAGTCAAAAAGGTAACTGTGAAAAGTTTTATGCTCCCCCTTACGCGCAAAGGTAATCGGAATTAATGGTAAAACGATAAAACAAAGTGGTGAAAATACTGATTATACTTATAATAAATGATTCACATTCCGCATGAGAGTTTATATGCGTGAATGCAGGGGAGTAAAATTAGGCGCTGCTGATTTTGTTCATTGCCGTGGATAATAGCCTGTTATAATCAAAATGATGCAGTCCTTTGGGAAAATGAACTATTATGCTAGGAAACAAACGTGCCCCGAGGCTGGATTCTTCTTCAAGATTAATCTTTTTCACTCCATTTGGAACATTTCGGGTGACTTTGACACGTGTTGGGAGGATGCGTCCATCCGGATGGATTTCAGATTGAGATAATGTCCCGCTTTATTCTTGCTAGTATTATTTTTTTTATATCGTTTTTGTTTTTCTGGCTGCGGGCAGCTGAGGGTGAACGAGGACTAAATAAAAAACATAGAAAAAGCTTTTTCGGTTACCTGGTGTTAGCAGGATGACGGAGGTGACGATCAGCGAGCAGATGACCAGAATGACAAGCAGGGCGATTGCGATTCCCTTCCAGTTCCGCTGCGGAGGGTTGGCTCCCACCAGCTCCTGCGAAATGGCGAACAAGCCACAGTCAGCCAAGGACGTCTTCCCGGTGACACGTCTGTCAGAGAACGACGCCCATCTGCTGAATATTCCGACATGGTCTTCTGGAACGGGAAACGGTCCGTGGAAACGCCAACCTTTATCCTCATTAATCTTAATCAATAAGACGTTCACGCGATACGTTTAGCCTGACCAAGTTAATGAAATTATAATGGTTTACACCTTGCCCCCAAAGAAATATTAAAGTATTCAGTTCAAAGGGTTACAAGAGCTTTAAACTACAGAGCGCAAATCCTTTAATCCGAGAAGCCATTATTGAACATTTCAAACGGTACGTAGATATTTAATCTAGCGTGTTTTCATAAAGGATAACCTCATAGCCCTTCACAGTACAGTTAAAGGAAACATGATGTATTCAAGATGTTCAAATTCAGCAAAGTGTTTGTGTGGTACAGTGGATTTAGCAGAAGAGACAGTGATAAAATGAAATGAAGCCAAGCTTCAAGCCGGACTGTGAAATCCACAGAGCCCCCTGACTGCAGGAGGACAGAAGTCCGAGGTTCAGCCGGCCAATGGAAATCCGCTGTACAGCTTCCCGATTGGCTGGATTTTGAGAAGATGAAGCTACGTGAAATACACTAAGAAAATGCAGAACAAAACTGTCAGGAAGAGCAGAAGATGCAGCTGCGCAAAAAACAGTCTGTTTGACAAGGTCAAAAGGTACCATGATGAATCTTAGGAGGCAGATCTGAATTTGGCCCCAGCTCAGGTTACGTGTAGATGCAGCATTGCAGGTTCATAGCCCACCAACAGGCCACAAGTAGATGGTACCATTGTGCTACATTGTACCATTGTACTCTGGGTCGCCATGACCGAAACTGAATAAGTGGCTATTGAAATCTAACAGATGGAAGATAAACCCACCCTTAGCCGACTATGAAAATATTATCTAGCACATCTACATTTTTATGCAGTGTGAATATGTACCAGACACTACGATGGTTAGAGGCACAGATAATACCATTCCCCCACTGACATTAGATTTGATCAGTTAAAAATGTCAGGCAGTGTACCAATTAACTCAAGTGGCCAGATGTCATTAATCAAAGAAGCCATAGTGTAGCTTTGAATGGGTGTGGCCTTGACAAGTTATGAGTTCTGATTGGGTATGACTTTTGAGGAGGGTGTGGCTATTGATGAGCCATAGTTTCTGATTGGGCATAGTCTCTAATGTGATGGGGGCCCCAGAGATCATGGCAGCTTCCAACTGGCTGCACTGTAGTAGCTGTTTCCCAGAGGAGCAGGCGTGATCTGGCAGTGAAGCACAGAGAGTGACAGGCTTGATGAAGCACCATTCGTCTCCCGTCGTAAATAGCCCCCAGGTTCAATAGCTAAATACGCATATAATCAACGCTATTTTCGGCGTGACTCGTCGGAAGAGCTCTGACAGTTAATGTGGATGCTGCTGGCGGTGACATCGTTGATCACAGACCCCGACTTCACGGAGCGCCGTGGCTGATGTCAACGTGGCACCTTCTTCATTTGAGTCAAAGCCCACTCTCGATATGGGGGGGGGGTCTGGGATTCGCAGTGCAGTTTGCAAACAGCTTCCAGCTCCAGCTCTCCCCCCACAAACATATTGTGTCGAGCAGATTGTGTCTCTCATTAGTACACTGCTGCCAGTCTATCCACCATGGTTATGAGACACTCATGAATTAGTCACTAAACTCTTAAAAATGTGAAAAACAGAAAACTCACACAATCAGATTAAAAACTTTTAAACACTGATACGTGCTGAAAAACTGTTCTGCAATGAAAATCAGTGGTAGCCCAGTGGTTAGAAAAGTATTTCAGCTCACCCCGATGGTGTTTACCATCACTCAAACCATGCATTTACATGGGCTGCATGAGGTTTGGCCCCCTGTTGGTCACAAACAGCCACTACACTAAACATTCAATAGGCATGTTCCTTATTTAGGAGATGCTGAAGCAGCATGTTCTGCGAACCAGCTAGCTAGATACGATCTTTTGACTAGCTAGCTATTTATTTGGTTTTTGGAATATCTCAGGAGGGGCAGGGGTGACTTTTTGCTAAATTTTGAAACGGCTGAGTGTAGGCTGGGTGATTTAATGGGGACCGAGAGGTGATTTGGGCGCAGTCCATAGTCAGTGTGGTCCAAGAAGCACGCCGACGGTTCCTTGCCGTTAATTTCAGCTGCACACAGTGCTCCAGGGAAACGCTGCGAGCATGATGGGATCAGTCCTGGAAATGAGGTAGGATGCGAGTGAGGGAGCTTGGCAGGGGTCGGGAACGGACGAATCAGACAGCAAATCCAGCGGAAGGTCACAGGTCACCGTGTGGACTGGATCACCCATGTTGGCGTGATGTTGCAATGCATGCAGAACTTTACGAGAGAAAAAT